GAGACAATAAATACCGTTACATCCCACTGGCTGACAGAGGCAATAAATATCATTATACACCACTTGCTGACAGAGGCTATTAATACTGTTATATCCAACTTGCTGGCAGAGGTCGTATATATCGTTATATCACATTTGCTGAGAGAGACGATAAATACTGTTACATCCCACTGGCTGACAGAGGCAATTAATATCGTTATACCCCTCTTGCTGTCAGAGGCTATATATACCATTATATCCCACTTGCTGGCAGAGACAGTAAATACCGTAATATCCCTTTTTTGCTGACAGAGACAATAAATACCGTTACATCCTACTGGCTGACAGAGGCAATAAATATCGTTATACCCCACTGGCTGACAGAGGCTATAAATACCGTTGTATCCAACTTGCTGACAGAGGCTATAAATACCGTTATATCCAAATGGCTGATACAGGCAGTAAATACCGTTATATCCCACTTGCTGACAAAGGCATTAAATACCGTTATATCCCACTCACTGACAGAATATAAATACTGTTATATTTCATTTGCAGACAGAGGCTATATTTCATCGGTTAGGGGTATTTTCATAAATATACAAAACGGAAATAGGAACCACATTTTTCAATCAAAATTCAACTGTGAAAGAGTGCTCTGAAATGTCAGCTATCCGTACATAAATATCATTATATCAGAATAGCTGACAGAGGATATAAATACCGTTATATCCCACTCGCCAACAGAGGCTAAAAATATCGTTACATGTTACTATACGAACTGTTATACCAAACTTGCGTACAGAGGATATAATTACCCTAATATTGAACCTGTCGGCAGCGGCTATACATTCAGGTTTATACAGCTTGCGACATCATGTTATTCGAACAGTTCTATCTATCTTGCAGAAAGGGGCTTTTCATACCGTTGTATTCAAATCGCAGAAAGGTTTTTCAAACATTGCTATAAAGGCTGTTGGAAATTTACAGTGTCTTGTATATGTTAATTGCCAACGTTACAGGTTATTATATAGCCTTTCTTCTCATAAAATGTTTACGCAACTTGTTGAAATAGTTAAAGAATACCGACACTCAATGTACATTTTAGGACAGATAATTTATAATAAGCTTGTCATAATAAGGGCCTTTGTTTCGTTAAATAAGTGTCACATCTCAGGTTCATCACATGGTTTCGGATATTGAAGCGGTACTGTGTACCTATTACCTGTTTAGAGGTAAGTCCCCTGCCAAAGAAAAATTTTAATAATGGAAAAATGACTCTATTTCCCAGACTTTTTGATGTTTTCATGTTAGCATTTTTGATGAACTGACAACGGTCTTTTTACGATACCTCCGTTTATAAATCACATCATCGATATTCTATTTTCCATATTATTTTATGGAGGCATTTCAATTTATTTTATTTCAGACAATCATAAAGAATATACAAATAATTACAAATTCGTTAAATATAACCAAACACTTAAACAATCGTATGTTCGCAGTTTTCAGCCATATTTCAGTTATATTTTCCGGTCCTTTCGGATCAATGATCCTAGCACATTAAGTGTTGAAAATTTAAAACACTTTTCTATTTTCTGTCATGAATAGACTCAATCAAACTGAGTCTGCATGACGCCCCGCACCTCTTTGGGTATCTCGGAAATATACGGACAGGTATAAAACCCGGCGCCTCTGCCCTATTTCTTAATAAAGTGAAGAAAAACACGGCGTCCCTTCTAACCTTACTTTTTTCGTTTAAAAATATAAATAATTTTGTTATTAAAAGAAAGATTACTCCATAAGCTTCCTTTGAATGCCTCAGAAATAAAATGAATTAAAAAGATGTATTTAAATTTTTGTTCAAAAAATTATAATTTTTTCCGCTGAATATCACACTCAAATTTGATAAGAAAAACACTGCGTCCCCTTCATTTTTTTCTTTAATTTCTTGATCAATTTTGATAATTTTGAATTGAAAGAAAAGAGTCCTTCATAAGTTTAATAGTCTTTAATTATATATAAGGCCTTAAAGTTAAAAAAATGAATTAAGCAGAAGTATTAGAATTTTCATTTCATGGCACCTTCTGGAAAAAACTCTGAACTTCTGTAAGAAAAACACGACGCCAGCTATTTGGTGTCAAATGAAAGAATCCTTCATGAACTTTCTAGTTTCTAATTTCGGAAAGGAAATCTCGGTGCGCATTTAAAATCCATCTTTTTTTTCAAATACTCGCATAGAAATTTGTGCTCATACATTTTTCAATTATACGAATACAAATATTGGCTGGCTTTCTGATTATGAATAAAATTAATAAATGGTAAAATTATCAATTTTCAAGTGATGCAGCTAGTGATTTAACCTTTGTTACAAATGCAACAAAAATATTTAAGGAAGATTGCGGCGTCTTTTCCTTTAATTGTACTTTAGCGGAGAGGTATTGTGTTATTATACCTGTCCGCAATAGAAGTTCGTAAATACTCTAAGAGGGACAGGGAGTCAAGCATGGCTTAAAATCGTTTAATTTTTTGAATCTACTTTTAATTTGTTATATTAAACATCTAACTGTCTCAACATTCTCTTGTAGTTCTACAACTCGAAACACGTTTTCTTCAACTTTATTTTCTGTATTCGAGTTTTACATTTCATTTGTATATCTCAGGTACAGATAGATATCTATAAGTGTGCAAACTTGCATAAGAATTGTATGCAATGGAACATACGATTTTGTAAATTTGTTGTTATTTTCCATGTTAGATAAATTGTTACGAACTATATGTAAACTTGTTATATAAAGACGAGAACTTTCAATTAAATTGGATTAAGAAGCATATTATGTGCTTTGAATTGATACAATTAAAATGGTAGGCATACAAGTTCGCATTTTCAAAAGTAATGTTTATAAGGAACACTTTACATGAAGGGAATTTGGCAACAGACGTCCTTCATAGTTATCTAGCAAATAGGTGCAGTAGTCCAGTGGTAGGACGCGCGCTTAGGGATCGAGAGGTCCCGGGTTCGAACCCCACCAGGGGCACTGCTAATTTCCTTGAGCAAGAAATTTACCTGCGATTGCTTCACTTCACCCAGGTGTAAATGGGTACCTGCGAGGGTGGTATAATTCCGTTGCGCCAAAGTGTCGGCTGCACTAAGCGGAGTTAAAAGACTCCCCAGGGAGATTGATAGATAGATACCAGTAGCCCGATGACCAGGGGTAATAGCTGTAATGTCGGTGAACGTGCGTAAGCATGAAACTTAGACTATAAAATGCAATTACTTTTTTAATTATCTGGACGGCAGTGGCCGCCCTTGCCATTTGATTCGAGGCCACTATATTTCAAAGATATTGTTGCAAGGATGTAAACAACTCTAAAACTCCGAGAAAGGTGAACTTTACTGACGACAGACTGTTACTCAAGACCATTGTTTAACTTAAAGACGTTTTCGGTAGTTTTCTGCGCGCATCGTTATGCGCTTCCAAGAAAGATAATCACGGATAATTACTCTTCAAAATGAAGGTCAAGTTGAATAGTATTCGGATAAGTGTTTAAATTTCGGCTATAAGCATAATGAGTAAATAATACAGAATAGATATTTCTAAATGTTCAAGAGGAGATCGGTTCAAAAGAATAAGAGGTCGTTTAGACAACATAACATAAAGGATTTCTCCAAGCATAAGTACGACAGCATTGATGATAATTCTGCGCGCGTTATCCCACCCACTTGTGGTATAGTGACGAAAGTGCGTCGCGACTTGATTACTGGCAGACAACTGGGCAAAGAAGTTTAAAATGATATAAAAGTGTTGAATAAAAAACAAAATTAATTTCTAGGAAATGTTCCGAATTTCATTATTTTCTTTGTAAATTTCTGAATACTTGCTTACTGTTCGGGTACGTTAGTCGAGTGAAAAAAATAATATGGCCCTAGATATGTTTTAAAAACATATTCAGTAGCATTTACTTAATATAACATCAAAAGAAAAAGAAATTTTTATTACAACATGTTTTTGTTGTATTTTTGACAATACATTTAGTATAACACTGATATTTCTTAAGAAAGCGTGGTAATTTTGACAGTTGGCATATGCGGTAACCATGGAAACTGCTCATTTACAAAAAACTAACACGTCAACATATATATTTTATTTCTATTTTTGAATCCACCATCAAATGTTACTTGATATATCAATAATGCAGAAAATTCTATGAAAGAAATTTCTTGATAGCTAGCTTTATTTTTTTACAGAATTCATGTTTATTTTTCTCATTTTTTTAGTTAAAATGTATGAAAAACTCATTTTTAAAAGAAAGATGTTCCAATTATCGTTTGTTTTATACAGAACCCTAACATAAAGCAATCTTTGTATAAAATTATGTTTATTGTGTGTGTAATAAGCTGTTTTATACATTATTATAACACAGTTTGGCTATTTTGACCATTTTGAGATATACGGTTACCATGGAAACTGCCATTTTTAAAAAAATCCAACACGCCAACATATATTTTTCTTTTTCTTTTTGAATTTGTCATTAAATTTTACGCAACATACAAAAAAAGAAAGAAAATCCTATGAAAGAAATTTTTCAATATCTCTAATTACATGAATTATTCTCAGAATTCATGTTTATTTTTCTCATTTTTTGTTCGGTTAAGGAACATGGAAAACTCATTTTTTAAAGAAATATGTTCAGATTATCATTTGTTTCATACAGAATCATTAGATAAGGTTATCTTTGCATAAAACAGTGCTTGTTGTGTATTTTAAGCTATCTTATACATTTTCTATTTGTTATAACACAGTTGGGCTATTTTAACAATTTTTAGATATACGGTTACCAAGGAAACTGCCATTTTACAAGAAATCCAAAACGTCAACATACATTTTTCTTTTTATTTTTAAATTCGCCATTAAATTTTCTCATCATACAAAAAATTTAGAAAATTCTATGAAAGGATTAAATTTTCATAAAACTGTAGAAAATGTCTTTAATATAATGGTTGTGCAAAATTAACTCACCCTTCTTGAGATTTTGATATTTTCTCTCCTCTGTTTGTACTGGTGAATCGGTTTCATCACTTTTCTCTGTTATGAAATACAATAAAAAACATCAGTAAAACAATAATATGTCATCATCAATAAATGTGACAAATACCCTCGCACTGAAACAAGAGCGACCGTTAGCAGAGACCAAACTTGACTATCTGTTCTTATCATCATCAATGCAAAAACATTGATAAAGGCCTTTAATTTGAGCTAAAACCATATTTGAATTCCTCGATTAGCGAGTTTGACCCTGAACATTGTTTTATCCCGGTATTAACCGAATGCATTAATTAATAACAAAGTGGCAGGCTGGTAGCTAAAAAGACCTTAATGACCTAACTCCTTTAATATATGTATATTGATTTTTACGTGCCATTGCGTCTAAATATCGATTACGTATGGGCATTAATTATAAAATTTTACAGAATTCAATAAAATTTGTTCTTGAGAGGCAGCATTAGCACCACAGATTTCCAGGAGTTATAGAAGTTAGGCGGGATTTCAAATGTATTTTTTGTGAAAAAATAAAGAATAACAAACCTGCCCCTTGCCGTCTTTTTATCTCATCAAGGTCTTTCTTCACGTCAGTTACATTTTCCTTTATATCTTCAAGGTCTCTTTTCACCGCAGTATCATTTTCTTTTAAGACTTCAAGGTCTTTCTTCATATCAGTTACATTTTCTTTAACGACTTCAAGGCCTTTCTTTACCGCAGTACCATTTTCTTTCACATCTTCAAGTTCTTTTTTTACATCTGTTACATTTCCCTTTACATCTCCAATGTCTTTCTTCACGTCAGTTACATTTTCTTTTACGTCTGTCATTTCCTGTTTCAGTTGGTCAACATCGGCTTCATAGTCCTTCCACTTTTCTATTTCTTCCTGTATCCTTCTCTCTTCTTCCAGATCAAGAGGGGTAGTTTTTAATTCGGCTATTGTTTGCCGAATATTCAGAGCTGGAGAACTTTGACGAACAAGTATCTAAAACCGGAATTTAATAACAACTTTATCATTTAAGTTTCGGTGTTTGATGATCTTTATAAGTGTTTATCGAAGATGTTGACCCATAAATAATCTGTTTATAAAAAAAATTAGACATAAAAACAAATTGGCTAAGCAAGAGAGTCATGACGGCCCTGACATAGCTCCTCTTAAATATATTTCTTATGGCTCTTGAAGTAACTGGTCACTCTTGAAAATAAACGGTTTCTATGTAAGCCACTGTACTGGAAAACCTGAAATTTGGGACTAAATGGACTGGAAACCTGAAAATTGTAAAACACTATAAACCGAAAATTGTGACATATTGTAATAACTGGTAATTGAAAATTGTGATTCACGGATATAACTTGACACCCGAAAGTATAACGCACTGATATAGCTGGTACTTGATAACTGTGAAGGACTGGAATTACTGATACTTGTAAATTGTAACGCACTAGAATTACTGGAAATCGGAAAGTCGTAAAAACTTAAAGCACTTGACAATTGAAAATCGTGATGCACTTAAAGTACTGATACTTGTAAAGCGTAAATGTTTTTTTTTTCTTATTCTAAATACACCAAGCTTTCGCAAAGATAAGTCAAAATCGTTCACATCGTTTTGAAGATTTCCAAAAATTTACAAAATGTATTTTACAATTAAAGGAACTCCAATGATTACGTAAAGTCTTAATTATGAAATTCGAATTGGGCACTTTAACTTATTAAGACAACGTTAAGAAATAACCTCAGATGTAAGCTCAAAATTGTATTTTGCTTTTTCATAGCTAATCAGACTTCAGTTAACAGGTTTTATAGTACTGCAAGACTTGTTCGCCGATGCCAATCCCGTATCGAATGTCAACCAGATCTGTGATATATTTATGTCGTGTTGAAATTCAATAGATAGAGAATGTTAGACTGACGAAAAAATGGCTCACTGTCTATCAGTGTGTTTACATTTCATAAATATCGCCGCCATTGCTGCCTTAATTATCACGTAACTTCAGAAAATTTAGGTTTGGATACCTTTGCATGATTGCTATTTTTCATTGAAACATGGCTTTGCAATTATGAATTCCAAAGATTTGAAGTCTAACGAGATTTCATTTGAAAGCAGACTCCATATCGGTAGATAATCTCTTCATAATTATTAACCTAACAAAAAGTTGAGTACACGGTGTCATTGAAGTTGCGTTTAAAAAAAACAACATGAATAGACTTAAAATTGATTTGTTTACCAAATGGTATTTTTGACCCACATTTTATTTTAATAATTATTTATGTACTGAATAACAACTGCCAAAATTCTGGTAGCCTTTGCAAATACGGTTGACCCATAACTTAACTGTCGCACAACTTCAAAAAAGCGACCTTTATATTTATGGAAGCGTGGCTTTTTTAATATTTAGTCATTTTCACAGTTATTATTGTTGTTCTGGAAGCAACGGAGACCTACATCGAATGAAACAATAATCCGAAAAATTATTTGCAGTCTCGTCATGTCTTAAAAACTTTTTTTAAATGAGTTTATTTAAGGTCGCCGCCGGAAAGCCCATATGGGCGACCGTATACTCAAGTCGGGTCATCCTAGAGCGTCCCGCCGAGATTTTTCGTCGATTTTTTTCAAGCTTTTTTGGTGGAGGAAGACCCAGGTGCCCCTCCGGGCATAATTTCAGGCACGAGCGGGCACCTGGGTAGAACCACCGACCTTCCGTTAGCCAGCTGGATGGCTTCCTCACATGAAAGATTTCGACCCGAGTGAGGATCGAACCTACAGTGGTGAGGGACCTGTGATCTCATGTCTTAAAAACCTCAACTGAGTCCCTTAAATAGAGCGAGAAGTGCTATAAATTATTTCAATACTCAAATTTCTCTATAGTGAAATTGGCTCGTTTAAAAGTCTTGTTTCGACGTACATCTAACCCTTTAAATGTTTACAACTTTTAAGAATACATTAATTGCCGTACATAATACTCTTTCTTCCTTTAAAAATGGATTGAAAGATTACAAAAATTTAAAAAATGATACTATGAAAGCGAAATGTGCTACCTGTTCAATATCATTCCACCAAGCTGTAAAATCATTATGTTGTATTTCAGTCGTTGTTGATATATGGCTTATCTGTAATGAAAACTAAATATGATTTTTTTCTGAAATAAGAGTTCAATTACTATTGGCAAAATCATAGGTAAGAAATGCAACCCTCACCATTCTTCTCCCCACTCACCCTCTTCCAAAACAAAACAAACAACAACAATACATGCCCTACTTTGAAGGAAGGTATTGACAATTTTGAATATGAAAGAAATGCAGATTTGTTGAACACATAGATTTACTTAAGACCCCTTTTACGTCCGCAGTAATAAGTACGGTAGAATGTAAATTATGCCAAATTTGTTTATGCGTGTATTTAGTTAAACAGGTTTTGTTTTTGCAAAATGCAAGGAATAAAACCCAAGGAGTACGATATGTAGAGATCATCACAATACACTTGTTATATATAACGTATAAAATCTAACAAAGCTTAAAAGCCCATACTTAGTAAAATGTAAAAGGGCAAAACATTGAATGGAAAAAGAACAAAAGGAAAATCAGTACACAATTATCATTCTTATGCAAAACTAAGGTAAACCCCATCGTTACTTCTTAAAGGTAAAGGTGATTGATCAAGTCTAGTCAAGTTTAACTTAAATATATTATCTTAAAGATTTTGCCAAAATGGCTATTGTGTTAAAGAATGATGACAATCAATTTAGAATTAAAACGAAATGTTAAAGTTTGCCGTTTTAAACGTTAATACCACCAGAAACAAAATCATGACTGGCAAAACATCTCCGATTGTTTAAAAACTGCAGTAATATCTCGCATTATTTCATGACGGCAATAAAAGCTCGGATTGTTTCATGGTTGTAGTAGAACCTGGGATTATTTCATGACAACGCTAAAAGCTCGGATTATTTCATCACGACTTAAAAGCTAGGATGTTTCATGACGGCGGTAAATCTCGGATAGTTTCATCACGGTATTAAAAGCTCAGATTATCTCATCACGGAAGTTACGGAAGTAAAAGCTTTGATGTCACATGACGATCGTTTTATGACTGCAGTATTATTTCGGATTGTTTTTTTGGCGGCAGCATTATCTCGGATTGTTCCTTGACGGCAGTATTATCTCTGATTGTTTCAAGATGGCAGTATTATCTCTATTTGTTTCATGACTGCAGTATTATCGCTGATTGTTTCACAGCTGCAGTATTATCTCTATTTGTTTTCTTGACGGCAGTTTTATCTGTATTTTCTTAATGACGGCAGTATTATCTTGGATTGAATTTTCGCGGCAAAATTATCTCAGATTATTTCATGACAGCAGTTACATCTCGGATAACTTCATGACTGCAGTATTATCTCGGATTATTTCACGACTGCAGTATTATCTCGGATTATTTTATGATGGCAGTAATATCTCTGATTATTTCATGACGGCAGTATAATCTCGGATTATGACATGTGTGCAGTAAAATCTCGAATTATTTCATTACAGCAGTAATATCTCATGGATTATTTCATTACTGCAGTATTATCTCGAATTGTGTCATGACCGCAGTATTATCTCGGATTGTTTCATGACGGCAGTTATATCTCAAATAATTTCGTGTCGGCAATAGTATCTTGGATTTTTTCTTGACGGCAGTATTATCTCAAATTGTTTTATGACAGCGGTATTATCTTGGATTGTTTCTTGGTGACAGAATGTTCTCTGATTGTTTCATGATGTCAGTATTATCTCTCTTTGTTGTATAACTGCAGTTTTATCTCGGATTGTTTCTTGGCGGTAGTGTTATCGTTGATTGCTTTATAATGGCCGTATTATCTTTATTTTTTATGACAGCAGTATTATCGAGGTCGATATTTGCTTAATGACGGCAGTATTACCTCGGATTGTATCTTGGCTTGTTTCTTTGCGGCAGTATCATCTCGGAGTTTCTTGACAGTTGTATTTTATCGGATTGATACAATTTGTTACTGTATATAGTAAGAAAATCGCCAAAGATTTCAATTGATTATGAGTGTCACGTGACATATTATGAGTTTGCGGCCCGGGGCCTAGAACTAGTTATCATCCCGCTGACCATGTGCACGTGCAAAAACTGAAACAATGACGTCAAATTTTACGTCATAAAACAGTAAACTGTAAAAGTGAAAGTAGGTTTTAAGTACGAATCGCTTGATTTTATTATGAGTGCTTAAGCATATTTCGTACAAACACAGTTTTATAACTATTGAAATTTAAAGAAATAATAAATCTACGACAATTTCATTCCGAAATAAATGAAGATAAAACTTGCTTCTAGATCCTACAATAGTTTACTTTTAACACACAAAAGTGAACAACTATGTAGAAGTTGCTGAACTGTACAGTACACTAGAAATGCTACTCTCCTGCGCATCGGTCGAATGTTCCACTAATGCGGACAGGAATTTCAACGAAAGAAATCTGAAAAGTATCTTTTTAGAACAAATAGCTTCTATTAGTTCATGACCAAGTGTATGAAAGACATTAATACACGCCATAGTTGTGCCAGAAAGTGATAATCGACCCTGAAATGAATAATGCCCTCTGATTGTTTCATACTTTGAATGTTTCATGGCAGCAGTATTAGCTCTGATTGTTTATGACAGCAGTATTATCTAGCATTTTTTCATGAGGGAAGAATCATCTCTCACTCTTATATACTTGAAATGTTTCATGGAGGTAGTTGTGACGCCAGTATTATCTTTGATTGATTCTTGGCAGTAGCATTCTTTTGGATTATTTTCTTGACAGCAGTAACATCTCGGATTGTTTCATGACGACAGCATTATCTTAGATTATTCCTTGATAGCAGTATTATCTCGGATTGTTTCTTGACGGCAGTTTTATCTTGAATTATTTTTATGATAGTACACATGTATTAAAATTTTAGTCTATTTGATGATAGAAATAACACCTTGTATTTTTTCGTGATGAATTATTTCCTTATATTATGATTATTTGTTTAATGTATGATCATTGATTAAATTATTTTTAAGTTAAACTTTGGAAGAAATTCAAACTTTTAAAATGCGTAGACATTAACATTGTTGTATGAAATTTACTTTTATTCTTTTGTATTGCCAAGGCAGGACTTTAGAATTGCCTTTCGCATTAACTTTTTCATAAAACGCTTACTTTATTTCGGAAATCCTTTAACCGCCATATGTTCTGCCTCCATTGTTACATCGCGTTGGTGCTGGTGTTTGCCCTCAGTCAAATTTTCTATTTTAATCCGAAAACATTTCAGGTTTTCTAAGAAGACAAATGATAAGCGTTGATGCTCCAAATCTGACCGCAGTTGGAAAACTTACCACCCGCTGGAAACAACACGTCATATTGGACCTGGTTTATAATGCCGCGGCTTTTTCAAATGTGTTATTGTTGCATTTTCTCGATCAAGCACGCACTGAACGTTATGCATTTGAGATTGCCAGGGACTGGTCCAGTATATTTCTCAATACCAGGAGGCCACCATCAATGACTAATATTTGTAACCGAAACAAAAAAATTTACGGTTTTAGTCAGGCGTCTGTAGTTGAATTCCGGTTGCCATTTTGTTTACTTCTTGATTTGTTACATCAGTGTTATAGCCATATCTGTAAATGATGAAACGTACAAGTTATTGTAGAAGTTTAAAAAAATTGCTTTAAACAAATATGTATACATGTAGCTATTCTTAGAATCGTAATCATAATAATATAGACAATGTATGCTGGTTGTAACGATATTTTAAATGGCATTGTTGTCAGATTGTGTTCTGTCAAATAAATGAGATTTAGACGTTATTATTCTAATTCATTTCATAATAAGTGACGATAACTGTTTATAAGTCCCCGAAGGGGGTCATAACATAATCACACCGTCTATCTGTCCCCACTTCAATCGTGTCCGGACTGTATCTTTGCCATACATTGAGGGATTTTGAAATAATTTGGCACAAATGTCTACCACATAAAGACGATGTGTCGCGTCTAAAAAACACTTCCGTAACTCAAAGGTGAAGGTCACACTGTCATTTTAAGTTTCACATTATCGCAATTAGAGTAAATAGGTACACACATTCGTGCCCGGACTGTAACTTTGTAATGCATCGAATGATTTTAAAACAAGAGCTGTCTGAACCGGGTAATGCTCCCCGAATAGGTTTTGGACACAGGAAAGTATACCTCTTGTAGTGTCAGAGTTATGTCACAGACAAAGTTTAAGGTATAAATACAACCAAAACATTGCGCGATACGTCGTCTCAATATGGTTATCATTTCTGTGAAATTGTTGTAAAATCCGAATTCAAATAACGAAGTTATGGGCTGGAGACGGTTTCGCTGCAAGGTTATGCTGAAAGCTTGACCTTCAAGGTAGCGAGCCAAATGTAGCGCAGGACACGTGGTCTCAATATGGTGATCATTTTTATGGAATAAGTGTAAAATCAGACTTAAAATAACGAAGTTATGGGCTGGACACGATTTTGCTGCAAGGTCATGCTGTGATCTTGACCTTCAAGGTAGCGACACAAATGTTTCGCGTGACACATCGTCTCAATATGGTGATCATTTTAGTGAAATAGTTGTAAAATCAGACTTCAAATAACAATGTTATGGACCGGACATGATCTTTCAGCAAAGTCATGCTGTGACCTTGACCTTTAAGGTAGCGACCGAAATGTTACGCCGACATATCTCCTTAATATGGTGCTCATTTCTGTGAAATTGTTGTAAAATCCAGCTTCAAATAACGAAGTTATGGGCTGGACACGATTTTGCTGCAAGGTCATGTTATTACCTTGACCTTCAAGGTAGTGACCCAAATGTTGCGCGTAAAACATAGTCTAAAAATGATGATCATTCTGTGAAATAGTTGTAAATCCGAATTCAAAAAACGAAGTTATGGGCCAGACACGATTTTTCTGCAATGTCATGCTGTCACCTTTACCTTCAAGATAGCAACCCAAATGTTCAGCGCGACGCGTTTTCTCAATTTGGTGATTATTTCTGTGAAATAGTTGTGAAATCCGACTTCAAATAACAAAGTTATTGGCGGGACACAATTTTGATGCAAGGTCATGCTGTGACATTGACCTTCAAAGGTAGCGACCGAAATGTTACGCAAAATCGGTCGTCTCAATATGGTGATCATTTCTGTGAAAAAGTTGTAAAATCCAGCTTCAAATTACGAAGTTATGGGCCGGACACTAATTTGAGACATACATACGGATGACCAACCGGCGGCTATATACTAAGCATCAACGTCTACCACCTCAAGACGATGTGTCGCGTCCAAGAATTACGTCTCTTCTTCAAAGGTCAAGGTCACACAAACATTTTGAAGTTTCACATTATCACAATAGAATTAAAAGGTTTACACAATTGTGTCCCGGCTGTAACTTTGTCATGCATGGAAGGATTTTAAATTACTTTGCATAAACGTCTGCAACATCAAGACCATGTGTCGCGTCCAATAATCACGTCCCTACCTCAAAGATCAAGGTAACAGTACCATTTTGAAGTTCATAATTATAGTTCATAGGTACACACATTCGTTTCCGGGCTGTAACTTTGTCATGCATCTAAAGATGTTTAAATAACTACGCACAATTGTCTACCACATCAAGACGACATGTCGCGACAAAGACCCATGTCCCTACCGTTAAGGTTAAGGCTACACTTATCGTTTGAAGGTACTTATTCTCTTGAGAAGAGTTTGAAGATACACATTCATGACCGGACTGTAACTTTGTAATGCATGGAAGGATTTTAAAATTACTTGGCAAAAATGTCTACCACATCAAGACAATGTGTCGCGGCTAAGGCTCTTGTCTGTCTGTCCGTGTGTCCCCACTTACACAACAATCATTTCCAGACTGTAACTTAGTCATGCATTGAGGGATTTTGAAATAATTTGGCACATATGTCTATCTCATAACAACATTTTGTCGCATCTAGAAAACCACGTCCCTTAAAAGTCAAGATCAAACTTATATTTTGAAGGTTCATGCTATCACATTTTGAGATAACATCGTGTATATCCAGTACCAGTAACACAGATATGTGCAAATTTGACGCAGGATTGTGCAATTTAGTGGCTTAAACGAGCACTGCAATAAATAAATGTACCAACATTTTTTATTGTTCACTAAATTGAAAGAAATTTATATTCGGTGTACCTGAAACATTTTCCAAGTTACTCGAGTCATCTTACACTTAATTTAGCAGATGAAACGTAGTTGAGACCAGTTTTCGAGGTAACGCCGGATTCGTGAATGAAGCACTGAAGCAACGGCGGTTATTTCATTGTAAGTAGCAATGTCTTATGTTACCAGCTTCTTTCTATTGTTATACGACACTTACAGTTTGACAAAATGCCTTGGTATACAGACTATGAATAAATAATGTTTTAAATGTGTTAAATTAACATATTTATTTGGCGAAACACAAAAGTCAGCTCAAAACGATAATCAGGTTGCCTTTCTCACACGAATGATCTATAGACGTAAACATAATCCTGAAATAATTATTAGTGCTGGTTAAAGTATAATGTCGTAGCAGGCGTATTCGCTAATTCATTTCTTTGAATGTTATTTATATTAAAAATATTTTGGTTCGTTTACTAACTGTGTTATTAGTTTTGGCAATACCGTTGCACAGATTTGGCGTTACTTTTACATTATTAGCACATACCTGCGTTACTGGATATGCACTGTGGATTACAGGTACAATAATACAAAGAACAATATTCAGTAATTAGTTACTTTCATTCTATTTCGTTTCATAATACCTGCATGCGTAAGAAACCTTTTCGGGGGCACTCGTCACTTAGGTGACAGCTCTTGTTTAAAAATAATGTGATTCATTTCTCATTTTATATGATCAATTTAAAATCAAAATAATTCAAAACTAAATTTAATTTCATTCATTGTAGTTTGAGATAACAATTACTCCCGTTTTTTGAATTTTGGTAAAACAATAATCGAAAGTAGCGTAAATAATGATAAAACATGAACATGTTTTCATTATATTTTGCTATAAAGATAACGGTTTAAATATGTATGTAAGTATTCAATTAAAAAATTACAATACATTTAGTTTACTTCTGTAACTCTTACCTAATTTGGTAAGATGTATAGTCATATATCTGATTTAATTGGTCTCACATAGAAACTATAACTTTAAAGGTCAAAGCATTCGATTAAATTAATTATTGTTATCGCATGGCTTTCAGCGTTTTCCTTGTTCTTTCTCTGTACTCTTGCATTTCTTTTTCAAAACACATCTACTAAATGAGATAAATCTACCTACAAAGTTTCTTGTTGATACCTCTTGCTTTTTGAGAGTTATGTCCCTCAAAATGTTTGAAGTGCAAAAATGAACAAAGAGTAATAACTCCAAAATTTGACACGGCATAGTTACGGTTCCTTTACATTGCACATTTACCCAATGGTATATATCTACCTACAACATCTCTTAATGATATCGGTTATAGTTTGAAAGTTATGTCCCGGATAAAGATCACAGTGTGATTGAAGGGCTTTTGCACTGTACATCTTCCCAAGGAGAGCTATCTATGGTTACCTACAAAGTTTCAGCGAAAACAACTTTAAACGGCCTTTGACTTATTATATATAGCTAGCTGTGAGGTCCCGTAGATAGCATTAGCTGGTATTGGTTCATTTTATCTAGGGTTTCTATTTGAAACTAAAGTGAAGGACACAAGAGAGGGAGATGCACATATAAAAGTATTTTTGTACTGATTTATGTAACAAAAATAGTGAAATTGCGATAAAACAGTTATAATATACGAAACTTGTAAGTAACTGGGTTATAACAATGGCTGGGGCGACATTTCGGGATATTTCTGTAAAAACATCTTCTCAGCCTAACAGCCTCTACAAATTTTTGCAGAAACATCCCGAGATGTTGCCCCAGTCACTGCTATACCCCTATAACTAACTCGTTTTCATATAGTATAATTATAACTTATCAATGTTGAGCGGGTGACATTTTATGAAAACTAAATGTAATAAACAGATTTCATTTAAACAAATTCGCAGAAAAATACATTAAAATAATCAAAAATATAATCAAAAACAAAATTGGAGAGAAATCTAAAATAAATTGAGCTATCTTCACTGGTTTGTATTTACGATAATTTCAAAGTAGAAAAGTATCAAACCAGACGACCAATAC